ATATACCTACGCTGGATCATAGAAGACATAGAGGGGATATGATACAAGTCTTTAAGATCTTGCATGGACATTGTGATGTTGACCCAGCTGTGTTTTTTGAGTTATCTTCATCTGTAACCAGAGGTCACAGGTGGAAGCTTATCAAAACACGTTGCTACAAATCCGTTCGTCATAACTTCTTTTCTACACGTATTGTCAATGATTGGAATGCACTACCTGAGTATATTGTAGACAGTAACAGTATTGATTCGTTCAAACATAAACTCGATAAATTATGGATATCACGCAGATTTGATACATCATCAATTTATTAATATTCAGCTGACCAAATTGAACAAACTGGTGGGGACAACAAGCCATAATGGGCTTATTTTATTCCCCGAAGATTCCAGTAAACATTCCAGTAAACATAAGCCCCTCCCCGAGTATAAGCCCCTCCCCGAGTATAAGCCCAACCCTCTGTTTTTAGACATTTAACAAGTTGAGGGCATCCCCTTAGTTTAGGCCCAGGGTGTTTTTACCCGGCATCAACGACATTTATTAAAATATGCATGTAATAAGTGTATTTCATTGCATAAATATCATGATTGGTACGGTAGTTTGGTTGCAGCTTTTACGAGAAAACTCACATTAATTTCAGAGTTCATGGCGGGAACATAGTTCATAGAACATAGTTCGCACATTTTCTATTCTGTTATTTACTCAAAATGAACCCCGATGTTGCAATACTGAGATAATCCATATTTCTTTTGAGTAGTAGTTTTTCAAATGGCAAAAATGTGATCGTCAAGTTGTGAAACCTGGTCTTGAACATCGTTTTACTTTTTCGAATAATCGTGTCATTGAGTCTATCATGACTGGGGTCAAGGTGTGAATGAGCAATCTTTGACATGACTTGTTGGCGGCCGTGAAAGGTTTAAATACACCCCACCCTCAGTTTACCTTTCGAAAATTGTGAATCAACAGCTTTTAGGAAAAAAATCACCGTTTTTTTCATCGAAATCAGTGTTAACAGTTCGCATTTTAACATCACGGTAATTCACTCCTGCATTGCGTTGAAAAAAATTACTTCGTCAATAATCTGAGAACTTCGTCTGTACAACACAGCATTTTCATTGGCTAATTAAAAACGTGACCTATTAGGTCAAAGGAAGTTGTTCAGGTCAAATCGTGATAAAAAACACCATCACTGAATTAGCTTTGTATCGAGTTTGCGTACGATCGAAAACATTCCACAATAAAGATAATGATAAAGATCTTGCCTTCAACAGTTTTCCCACAGATCCTACCCATTTTTACACCGTAAATTCAGACGGTATGTAAACCGTATTTGTAATAAATGTGTGTATTTTTATGAACATGTTTGTTTCATCATTGTAAAAAGTGTCGTTGAATTCAATGACGACTGGTTTCATATTTATTTCTCAAAATGACGTAATATTCCTCTGAGACCGGCGCTGTGAACAGAAAATGTAATTTGGATAATTTTTTGAGATAGTTACAATTTTACACCCACCCAAAAATTTTCTTTTCTGAGGTGGTCCTCGAGTATATCCCCACCCCCTAATTTTCCCGATTTTACATGTTCAGGCCCCTGGGCTTATACTCCGGGAAGTACGGTAATCCACACTTTGACAATAAACAGGGAGCTCTGGAAAAAATAGTCTAGGACTAACACTAACCAATTCTTCCTATTTAGTATTTCTAAATGTATGTTGCCATGGCATTCTGTGATCACCTGCTAATTCTACAATTTCACAACATCTAATTATTGACAAGTTATGTTCCTTATGAACAAGGAATGAACAACATACCAAAAAAAGTACATTTTTATTACCCAGGTGATATTTTTACAACAAATTTGCATGTGAGATACAATAAACCAAATACAGTATAAACAAGTCATTGAAAATGACACAGTCCCCGTTAAGTTCTCTTTGTGCTCGTCATATTAAAGCGGAGGGGTTGTCGCGAGCGTGTCCTTGAAACTTGAGTTCCAAGTGGCGTATACAACAGATTGTTTATTTACATCAAAACACGTGTTTCGTGTCATAGTAATATGGCCAAAATAAAAACAGCCGTTATTCAGCCATCTTTGATCTGATTATGAAACACACTGATATGTATGATGTATGTGCCAAATACGAATGAAAATGGTACATAAATTGTGGAAATATAGTAGTAAGGCCAAAAAGTCAGATGGCTGTCAATCGGCCATCCTTGACCAGATTTTGAAACAAATTGTCATGGATATGCATCCTAACATGTATAAAGTACATGTATGTGCCAAATTTGAATGAAAACTGACAGAGCACGTCCAAGATACCGCATAAAAAACCAAAAACAAGATGCCTGCCAGTCGACCATCTTTGATCCATCATGGACATGTATCCTAACATGTATAATCTATGTACCAAGTTTGAATGACAACTGACAAAGCATGTCCAAAATACAACATTTTCAAAAAACAAGATGGCTGCCAGTCGGCCATTTTGAATCGAATCGCTAAACCACTGCATGTGCATATGTCCCACATAAGGTACTAGGCACATGCAAAGAATGAACGGAATCGGTCCACAGGATTCTGAAATATGACGTTGGATAGACTGACGCACGGACTGACGGACACACGGACGGTCGGACGGACAGACTCAGGAACTCACGGACGGTCGGGGACATGTATCCTAACATGTATGATCTATGTACTAAATTTGAATGAAAACTGACAAAGCATGTCCAAAATACGACATTTTCAAAAAACAAGATGGCTGCCAGTCGGCCATCTTTGATCCAATTGTGAAATAAATCATCATGGACATGTATCCTAACATGTATAATCTATGTACCAAGTTTGAATGAAAATTGAATGAAAACTGACAAAGCATGTCCATAATACAACATTTTCAAAAAACAAGATGGCTGCCAGTCGGCCATTTTGAATCGAATCGCTAAACCACTGCATGTGCATATGTCCCACATAAGGTACTAGGCACATGCAAAGAATGAACGGAATCGGTCCACAGGATTCTGAAATATGACGTTGGATAGACTGACGCACGGACTGACGGACACACGGACGGTCGGACGGACAGACTCAGGAACTCACGGACGGTCGGGGACATGTATCCTAACATGTATGATCTATGTACTAAATTTGAATGAAAACTGACAAAGCATGTCCAAAATACGACATTTTCAAAAAACAAGATGGCTGCCAGTCGGCCATCTTTGATCCAATTGTGAAATAAATCATCATGGACATGTATCCTAACATGTATAATCTATGTACCAAGTTTGAATGAAAATTGAATGAAAACTGACAAAGCATGTCCATAATACAACATTTTCAAAAAACAAGATGGCTGCCAGTCGGCCATTTTGAATCGAATCGCTAAACCACTGCATGTGCATATGTCCCACATAAAGTACTAGGCACATGCAAAGAATGAACGGAATCGGTCCAAGGGACTCTGAGATATGACTCCGGACGGACGGACGGACGGACACACGGACGGACGGAGACCGAATTATAAGTCCCCATTTTCGGACTTCGTCCGAACGGGGACTAACAAGCACCACATTTAACAGATCACAAATAATTAAAATATTGGTTATTTTTGTTTTAATTTGTCAAATTGTGCAAGACAGTTCTAAAGTTACCCTGAACGACCAGTATACACTGATGACAAATTTTGAATAATATAATTCATTTTATGCGACTTACAAGATGTCACTGTACTTTACAGACAAGATTCACTCACTGCACACACATCAAATGTATACTCAGTGTTAGATGTTCCATTGCAAAATAACATTTATACCTACCTCTTGCACTCTTGGAATGGAAGTTCCAAATCTTGAAATTTTCCTGTTTGCACACTTCTGGAAATGGACCAGTGGTCTAGTCTATTGTCAAGTACAGTTTCTTCAACCTATAGCATTTTCCAAAACAATGAAAAAATACATGAGAATTTCAGATACAATTAGGCCAGACTTTTATTATCCCTTGTTTCGCGAACCAGCCGAATGAACAAGAGCCGAAAATGAAATGAAAATAAAATTTTATTTCAGCGTAATTTCTCGTAAGCGCAAAAAATTGCTAAAAAAATATTATTTTTATCTTCATTTTTTACTGCCTGCCGCATAACAAATCCAAGTCGCATTTTCGTGGGAGTATCATGATCAAAGTATCGAAGTCTCGCGCAGATGAGAAACAAGGTTATACATGGAATAAAATTTTATTTTATTTCATTTCATTTCTTCTCTTCTCTCCGATAAATTATCTCACTTACAATTCTTTGAGAATTACACAAATCTAATGAGAAAAAAAAAGAGTTTTATTTTTTTTCCACCCCCCTCAAAAAAATTGCCTTATAAAAAAGTCTGGCCTTAGCGGTATACATGATATGCATGCGTGTTATAGTACACCAATAACGTGCAAGATTGCTAAAAGTAACAATTCCATATAAGATTGAAGACCAATTATTTATAGCATTCTAAACTACTGTAGAATACTTTATTTTCGCTTGGAATTTATTTTCGCTATTTTCGCTGAAGGGATGATTCCGTGAAAATAAAATCCAGTGAATATACTTTTTTTCCTATATTTCACATTAAGGTAGCGAGACTATTATTTGTGTTGAAAATTACGATTTTCACATTTATTTATTAATTGATGAAATGCACTAAAAACTTTCATGTGATAAAGTCAACATAACATAGAATGTCATGTAAGTTGTTTAAAATGTAGATTTTCTGAAGGAAGCAAGGCAGCCTCAGTAGTGTTTTCCAAAATCAACAACACAGGTTTAATCTGTGTGCCTATAAGTTTCAAAGATAAACTCAGACAAAGCAATGTTAGGATGTGTTATCAGTAGCTATCTGACACACAATGAGTGTTTC